CAATGGAAAACATACCCTCGGATGCGGATTAAAAAATAGTAATAATAATAAACAGAAATTTAAAAATTAAAAATACATACATGAAATATTTCAATGGCAAGATTTCTCAAACATGATTTTGAAAATCAAAAGAACACCAAAATCCCAACAACTGACCAGAGCATGGGCATGCATTAATTAGTTAGTCCATTCCCCAACATTTTATCAGGAAGCTGCTGTGTGCCAGTCATGGTGCTTCAGGATAATAAGATACAAATTTGAGATGCTCCTCTCAAAAGTAGTCTATTCTGAAATCTTAGTCAAGAAAAAGGTACCCTGAAAGTATCTGACACAAATCCAGTAAGAAAAATAAAATCTAGACATAAAGGGCAATAAAACTTTAGTATCAAACAGGTTGACTGTCAAATCTGGGTTCTATCAGTGTGATCTCAAGTTAAGTCAATTACCTCTCTGAATTTCAGGATCTTCATCTGTAAAATGGAGGTTTTGTTGCTAGTAAAAGAGATTGAGATAAAAAAGATGCCTATCAGATACTTGCTGTGCCATAGCTCCCTTATATAAATGCCAACCTGAAATGGCTCTAGAGATTCACCACAAGAACCAATTGGAATACGAGGGAAAATAGAAGACATTAAGGGCTGGCAGGAAGTAGATCAGTGCTCTTCAAATTGTACATAAACACTGTTTCATGATACTTTTGTTTCAGATCTATACAAATATAGATAAACATGTCTAAGATTTCAATAAAATCATTGGTGATGGATTTAATTTCCTACTTTCATTTTCTGGGTCATTAACCCTATGTTATACTAAATGGCTTCCCTTGTAATGCTCTATATCCAATACTACAGTGATTATACTGAAGCTAAGATTAGTGCTAGATTTAGAGAAAACTCCCTGTTGCATTTTTATAAATTTTATTGTGGAAATATATATATAATAAAAATAAAATTTGCCATTTTAACCATTAAGTGTTAATGGTTAACACTTCAGGGGCATTAATTACATTCATAATATTGTATAACCATTATCATTTTTATTTCCAAAACTTTCTTATCACCCAAACAGAAGTTCTTTAACCATTGAGCAATAATAACTCCCCATTCACACCCCCACCCTGCAGCCCCTGGTAATCTATAATCTATTTTTCTGTCTATATGAATTTGTCTATTTTAGATATTTCATGTAAATGGGTCAATCCTATATTTGTCCTTTTGTGTCTGGCTTCTTTCATTTAGCATCATGTTTTCAAAGTTTATCCATGTTG